AATGGGACCAAAAGAAACCTTTTTACCTAAAATAATGTGCACTTAAAAACAAATGTTATCCTAGTTTTAAAACATTATGCACTAATTTAAAAAGAACAAATGTTACCCTTCATGGTGCATGCTATTTTTGTATATTTGAATTTGCTTCTCTTTAGCCATAGCATTTTATTAGTACCAATTACAACCAGGTTCATGTTATAACATCACTTGGTTTATGTTGTAACTGACCCACGCTGTAAATTTATGCTTTCCATTTTATAACGATTTGTAAAAAAAAAAAAAAAAAAAATATTCGGGCCAGTCACGTGATTTTGCCGCAGTTTTTGATTCCATCAAGCATGGCAAACATTTTGAGCCTTTGTTTTTAATGAATGCTTTAACCAATCAACTTGAAATGTAGTGTCTGTGGCTAAAGTCTCTTATGCGAAAAATAAAATAAATATGATCAGTCAGTCACATGTGCTACGACAGCATTTTATCGGAGAAAAAAATGGCCTTGTATACGCGTTCGGCTCGAGCCAAGTTCGGCTCCAATGAACCCTCTGGGTTGAACTCCGATAGGGTTGAGCCTCGACATGGCCCGACTGTGTATACGCATGGCCCATCTATCGGAGCCCAGATCACGCCCTCTCAGTCTTCAACTAAGAGGTACGCGCTCTAATATCTAGTTGGCAGAGTAAAGAAATGCTGCATACGAAATTACGCGACAACTTGAAAGAAGGACTGAACAGATCCAATGAAAATTGAAGAATTTTTTTAAAGACACCAGAGATAAAAATCGTAGAAGCGGTCACGGTAAGGTGACATGTTCCTGGTAGATTTAGACTCACTAATTACTAGTCTGAGGTTTGGATTGACAACTAACACGTATAACAAAAATTGAAGAATAACAATAATAGGCTGCGACACATTTTAGTTGCCATGTTTCCTGTTTATTCGATGTACTAGTACCTAAATCATAACACCAGTCGTGTTTGCTACCTACATGCTCAGACTAGATCGTGACAGTTTCTTTTTTTTCTCCCAACTCAACAGAATCGTGCCATGTAAAGAAACAACACAAGCACGACACCAATATCGTTTTCAGCCATGTTTTTTTCATACTAATTATTTGAGGGCACTGTTCCGTTAGGCTCTGACCGAACTGAATCGAACTATGGCTGCAGATCTCGGCTCTCGTTCGGCTCCCGACCGTATGAATGCATTGGAGATAATCTCTTCTTAATCGGTGGGAGGAGCAGTAGTTTGGCTTCTGTAGAATGCTGCCGTGTGGACATAGCATGGTTTGTCCGCCATCGTGGATTTTGCGTACACACACTTTGAGAAGCAGTTTGTAAACAAACGGTGTACACTGTATAATATAGTGTTCGTATCAGAGGCGGCGACGATTTTATGTGAATGTCATTTTATGTGAATGAATGTCAACGCGACCTTTCTTGGGGTACCGGGACATGGTAAATTTTTAGAATCTAGACCGCCTGAAACGCTGTTTTCTACATTTTGGGGAGCAAATTTTGATGGTACACTTAGACTTAGGTATATTTCTCTTACGTTGGACTGCACAGTGTACATTTCTACCGACATTTGCGGTGGATTTTAGTGACAAATATAAATGAGTGTTCCACCTTATTTTATCGTGGGGGCGACCTATTTATCGTGGGATCCCCACTGCCCCCACGGTGCCACCGTGGGGGCAGTATTGATCCTGATTTGACCTGATGGACCTGACTTTTAGAATATTTATTGGTCAACTAGTTGGGTAGCCATATTGGATTGAAGTTAATCGAAAGTTTATTATGAACTCTTTCTGTGGGCGGATGCATTCTGATCAAAACATCATCGATCTCGTGCCTTTTCCAGTCGTATTGGATTTTAAAAATAAAACAAATATTCACTATGTAGTAATTGCAGTCAGTTGAGCGCCCTCTAGAGGTCAAGACATCCGTCTGGATTACAGATGAGCAGAAATTTGATTTCCACGCAGCTTTGCATCATCCCGTAAGCCATAGGTTTCACCTGGCCAGCGATTCATTTTATGTTGCATTTTCGATTACCGCATATTATATATGATAATATAAATAACAACACTACGTAGATTAGTTATAAAATATCTACAATTTACTAATTAAAGCGCGGTGGTCGTCGCGCAGCGCGTGTTCGAATTTCATGTAAATAAACAATGTATTTTACACGCGTTGTATACGTCGCTATGAGTCCCATATCGAACAGGACGCGGCGCGACGACTGCCACCCTTTAAGGTCACATTTACCACTGAACTTTCTAGCTATTGACAACTTAGCATTGCATTACAATATATTTTGTAGACAAGATTAGAATTAGGTTTGCATTTAATCAAGAGTGTGTAGCGCATATAGAATGTTTCATAAACTAGTTTCATAATCTAGTGAATAAATCACTTTTGTTATTTTTGTTCAATTTGTGTGAATGTTTTTGGGAATCTAGAGATCGTAGATCAACATACAAAATTGTATGGAAAGCGAGTGCCTACAAGTACAACACTATCAATTAGGAATAACTTCTAACATACACACAAAGGAAATTATTTTAGAACAACTTACACAATGTTTTTAATAAATAATTGTGAGTATAGTGTGCTGCAACATACCGCAAAGTCGCGGCTTCCTTCCTAAGTTTCTTAAAATTGAATACAAACTCAGGGTAAACGCTGTAGAAGTACAGAATTTTGAGTAATTCAAGAAATGTATTAACAGTTGGTGGGGTGCAAGAGTAGTGTAGGATATAGAGGCATCTAATGTGATTATAAAATTTACAAACTAATAAAAAATAAAAAATAAATTTTTTAATAGAATTATGCAAAATTCGCATGTACGTTGGTCTATTTCTAGATGACCTTTGTCAATCCGTGAACTTCGTAGCCGAGCTAGTGATATGGGTTGGAATATGAACAGAAAACAAACAAGTTTCTGGTTCTATGGTTATTTTAAAATGACAGCAAGTATCTAACTCGTCTAAAGTACGGAAGACAAATCGCCATACAAAGGAAAGATACTGTTTGAATCGCTCTACAAATTTATTGACATTGAACATTTCCAACTTCTTGTACATGCCAAAGGTCATTCACATTGCAGATGGAAAGTACATTTTGGATGTCACTGATCCAGGCGTATTTTATTCTAGTTATTGTGGTACCCTGAATTTGGCGTGGAAATTTATTTTACCCAATATTTAAAGCGGGAGGGTTGTCACCTGCGCACACAGTCCCAAGCGACGCTACACACGCAACACACGCCAAAAACGCAAGTGCTCATGGGTAGACGCTTGTTTCTAAACAGTAACACGCTATGGCCGGCGTAAATGGTCGTCTCAGAATCGGCAAGCTCCCAGAGAAGCCAACAAATGCAGTAAC